TAAGGAGTTAAAAACGGGGGTTTCAATTTTACTATTGAAGGGGTTTAAAACCACATTGGGTTAGATTTTACTATTGAAGTGAGTTAAACACTTTGGGGTTCAGATCTTTACTATGAAGTGATTAACCCCAGAGGTGGGTTAACGATTTACTTTTACTCCTTTAATTTTACTTGAGAAATTTTTTTAAAAAAATTATATTTCTAGGAGTTTTTTTAAATCACTATATTTTTACTTTTTAAATTGAAGATTTGTAAGAAAGGGAAAATTTTATTTTTCTCCTACATTGGTAAATAGGTCTTACTTTTCTTTTTACCTCTTTGGTTTCTCGCGCATTGTCTTATCCCCCCCCGCTATCTTATTTTAATGTTTTTTTTTTGACAGAGAAAAGGGGGAAAATTTCCGCTAAGTCTCCAGTGACGGTTTTTCCCAATAAAACGTAGTGGTGAGTCTCGTCATTTTTACCATACAATTCAGGGCGGGAGGGGTTGGGTTTTACGTAAGAACCCAACAAAGTCAGAAAATTACCCCCCAAATTTCAGCCCCCGACAAAACCCCCGCCCCCGGCCCTCATATTGGGAAAACCCCAGTTTCTTTAAAACGAAAGAAAAAGCTACATTTGGGTTTCGTGTTCCAAAAAAACGGGGACATTTCAGCATTAAAACAAATTAAATTTAAAAATTTAGGAATTTTTAATTCGTTTTTTTTTTCGTAAAAGGGAATTTTTTTTTTTTTTTTAAACATTTTCAATATAAAATAAAACAATTTTTAGTGAAAAAGTTTTTTTTTAAGCGACCCCGAGTCACAGATTTTTTTTGCCAAAAAACCCCCCACAAATGGAAAAGGGACACAGATTTTACTAGAAACCCACAGAAAGCTTAAGTCCTCCCTTCAGTTACTTTTGTAAAAAATGAAAAAAATCACACCCTTTGCTGCCCAGGGCGGGTAACACAAGAAACCTGACAAGTGATGCTAAATTTGATTGGGGCCCAAAACCAAACCCTTTTTCTGGGGTTTTGAGACCCTTTCCTTCATTTGATAGAAACCTTGAAACCTAACAGTAATGAAAGGAAACTTTTAGCAAAAGAATACAAAAACTGCAAAACAAAGGAGCATAATAAATAAAAAATTTGGGGAGTGCTTGAACATTTTTTGCTAACGTAAAAATTAGGGTCCCCTTTCCCCTTGGATAGACAACCCTACTGGAGAGGCATCCACTTGGCTTGTAGCCTGTCAAAGGCTTGCAACGTTGTGTCCTGCTGTTTGCTTGGGGAAATAAAATTCTGATACCACACAGGGAAAAAGTGACCAGGAGAAAACACAGGGGCCCAAAATTTCCCTTCGATATATGGGGGGGGGAAAAGAGGGGGAACCCATCAAGTAAAGGGAGAGGACCCCACCCTGTGTTTCAACAAAGATCGGGAGTCAGAGGTGGAGTATCAAATTCTGCAATTTTTGGGAAAAAGGCCTTGGACCAACTTCCAAGGCACCAAAAGGTGCATCCTCTCCTCAACCTTTACCCACATTTGATGCATGCTGCGGGAGGGCAAACGAAACCTACAAGGGCGTCTCGGTCTGCTTTTGAAAAATGTTGCTTTTGGAAAAAACCACAGGAAACCAGGGCTCATGAAAATGGAACGTGAATGAAGCTGCGTTGCTCCCCCCCCAACGACACACTGGGCCCCCTGTTCCTGCTGTAGAAAGGTTTGGCGCATTCAAACCCGGGGCAAAAGGGGGAACAAGCAATTTGAATGTTGCCAGCATTAAAGAAAAAATTTAAGTTGCAAAAGTTTTTTTGTTTTTTTTAAAGAATTAAAGTAAATAAGTTGCTGATTAAAAGGGGGTCCCCTTTTGTCTAAAAAATAAGTTTTTTTGCATGGGGGTGTGACATTGTGGATGGGGCTTGAAGAAATATTATATTTATATATATATAAATATATTGTATTTTTTTTGTACATGCATAATAAAGACATTTTACCAGAAATGCTTAAATAATTGTTTTATCGTTACATCTTTTTAGGTTTAATCCAGCTGAAAATTGGTTTTTTTCGAGTTGCGGTGATGAACCTGTTGCCATGGCCCCCCTTTAATTCCTCCAAGGGGAAACATCGTCTTGGGCCTCCTGCTGCCAACACTTTTCCAGTTTCGGGACAAGCTAAGAAGTTGGAGTCAACTTTCAAAATGTGACATCTTGTTCAGCCTGCACAAGGATCCAAAAAAAAGTTTTTTAGACGTCTAAAAAAACCCGAGTGATTGCAGCGCAATATCTACCAAGATTCAGAACATCCCGGACCCCAGAGGAGAAATCTTAAAGCTGGAATATACTTGTTATCAATTCAAAGGAACCAGTAGACATTGACCAATAAATCTCTAAATGTTACTGTATTTAGGATTATAGGTGTCAGGGGCAAACCACAGGGTGGCATATTAGTGTGACTTTTTTTTTTGATTTTCTTGTTAATTTGGAAGGAAGTAAAAAATAATGCCCCCTTTACAATCATCATCTCCTCTAATGCCTTTTAGAGAACAGCATTAGCTAATTTTTGTTTGGGGTATAGGCCGCAAATTTTTTTTATTTGGGGATCTTCATGGACCCGCTCTTTTCCTCTGCTGTGAGATGTCAGGTGGGCCCAATCACAGTCAGAGTATTCATTTTAGGGACACAGAAAAAAAGGGGGTGCTTTCCCTGCAAAACAAAGGACTGAGTAGGCCTATAACACCATTTATTATTTTAAAATTGACCCCCTTTTTGGTGTGCAGTTTTTGTTAGCATGCCTGGTATGAATGTTTTTGTGTTTCCCTTTTGTTTTTCGGGACTGGGAGACACCCAAAAGTTTAGAGATTTTTTGGGGTCCTCTTTAGTTCTGCCTGGTAAAAAAAATATAAAGGGTTTTGGGAAATTTGTTTTGTCTTATTTATTTTTTTTGTTTTTTTTTTTCTTAATTTACCTGAAATTTTTTTAATTTAAGCTATTTTGTAATTATTAAAGATTATTATTTTGTATTTTTTCTGTCGATGTTTTTTGTGTTTAAAAAAAAAATCGCGTAATCAACTTTCTCAGTACTTGAGTAGTTTTTTTACCAAGTACTTTTTTTTCCCTTTCTAAAAAAATTATTGGATACTTTTTACTTTTACGGGGTCATTTTTCTGAAGTAACATACTTTTTTCTTGAGTACATTTTTTTGGGTCTTACCCCCCTCTGGTTAACACACTGGGGGTTTAGATTTTACTATTTAAATGAGTTTAAAACACATTGAGTTTAGATCTTTTTTTTCATCAATGTGTTGATCTGACAAAAAAGTGGGAAAATGGTGTCTATAGTCTTTGAGAGTGTTTGTATTTTGCCAAGATTTTGTGCATGTGTGTGGTAGTGGTGTGTGCATGTGTGTTGTAGTGTTGTTGTGCAGTGTGTGTAGTGGTGGCAGGTAGCTTAGTGGTTTAAGAGCGTATGCCTAACCGAACGGTCGCTGGTTCTAATCCCCGAGCCGACTAGGGGTGAAAAATGCTGTCGATGTGCCCTTGAGCAAGGCACTTTAACCCTAATTGCTCCTGTAAACGAGAGTCGCTCTTGGATCAGAGCGTACTGGCTAAATAACTAAATGTAAATGTAAAATGATGGTGTGGTGCGTGTGTGTTAATGGTGTGTGGTGGGTTTTGTGTGTTTTTGTTGAATGGTGTTTGTGTGTGTGTGTGTGTAATGGTGTGTGTGTGTTTGTTTAATTGTGTGTGGTGTGTGTGTGTGTGTTTGTGGCGTGTCCGGTGTGTGTGATGTGTGTGTGTCCTGGTGCTGTGTGTGGGTGTGTGGGTCCTCTTGGTGTGGGTGTGTGTGTCGTGTGTGTTCCGTGTGTGTGCCTGGTGTGTGTGTTTGTGTTTGTGTGTGTCCTTTGTTTTGTTTGGTGTGTGTTCTCCTGGTTTGTGTTGTTGTTTTCGATTTTGTGCATGTGTGTGTGTGTAATGGTGTGTGTGGTGTGTTCTTACCGCTGGCCGTCTCTCCGTTGATGCTGCCTGTGTGTTATCTCTGTGCTCGTGGAGTTGGAGGATTGTGTGAGCGTGCGTCCAGAGCAGCTAGATACTGGGCCTGCCTCAGTAGGCTGTTAGATGTGGAAACTGAATAGACTTCTCTGGTACGTAGTCCAAGCAGCCCCGTCTTACTCCTCTCCTGAAAGCAAACCATCACCACATATGTTTTACCGTGAACCAATTACAGAGCTCTGTGTTAAAGGACAAGCCCTGGTCCACCAATGGAAAGAGGACTATATTAGACAGTGTCTGTGGTGTTTTTCCTGTCTGAGTGCTGTTGTTTTACCTTGACCCGTCCTCCATGTCTCCATCCGCTATGACCTCCACCAATTCATGCTCCTCTATATCAACTCATCTGCTGAGACGCCTAAGACACGAGAGAGAGAGAGACACAGAGAGATAGAGAGAGAGACACAAGAGAGGACCATATAGAGCGAGAGAGAGAGAGAGACACATATAGAGAGAGAGAGAGACACAGAGAGAGAGAGATGACACATAGAGAGAGAGACACAGAGATAGATAGAGACACAGATAGAGACACAGAGGAGAGGAGAGAGACACAAGATAGAGAGAGAGAGACAAGAGAGAGAGAGACAGAGATATGCGAGAACACATAGAGAGAGAGAGAGAGAGAGACACCGAGAGAGACACCTAGAGAGTAGACACATAGAGAGAAGAGAAGAGAGATAGAGAGACACAGATCGAGAGAGAGAGGAGAGAGATAAGACCCAGAGAGGATATAGAGATAGATAGAGAGAACACAGAGAGAGAGAGAGATAGAGAGAGAGAGAAGAGAGAGATAGAGAGAGAGAGAGTATAGAGGAGAAGATAGGAGATAGGAGAGAGTAGAGCGTCGAAAGAGGGAGAGAGGTAGAGAGTAGGAGATGGAGAAAAGAGGTATTAAACCAATGGACAACACAGATAACTTTCATGGCTCTAATGTTACATAGAACCCAGTGTTCAGATGGGTGGAGCCCCCTAACCCTGATGGGTGGAGCCCCCTGACCCTGACCCTGATCCTGATGGGTAGAGTCCCCTAGCCCTGACCTGATGGGTGGAGCTCCCTGACCCTGATGGGTGGAGCATCCTAACCCTGACGGGTAGAGCTCCCTGACCATGACCTGATGGGTGGAGCTCCCTGACCCTGACGGGTAAGATCTCCCTGCCCTATGGGTAGAGCTCCCGACCCTGACGGTAAGCTCCTGCCCCTTACGGGTAGAGCTCCCTTCCTGATGGGTAGAGCTCCCTGACCCTGACGGGTAGAGCTCCCTGACCATGACCTGATGGGTGGAGCTCCCTGACCCTGACGGGTAGAGCTCCCTGACCCTGACGGGTAGAGCTCCCTGACTGTGACCTGATGGGTGGAGCTCCCTGACCCTGACGGGTAGAGCTCCCTGACCCTGATGGGTAGAGCTCCCTGACCCTGACCTGATGGATGGAGCTCCCTGACCCTGATGGGTGGATCTCCCTGACCGTGACCTGATGGGTGGAGCTCCCTGACCCTATGGTAGACTCCCTTACCCTCTGACCTATGGGTGGAGCTCCCTGACCCTGATGGGTGGAGCCTCCTGACCCTGACCTGATGAGTGGAGCCCCCTAACCTGACCTTGATAGGTGGGGCCCCCTAACCCTGATGGGTGGGGCCTCCTGACCTGACCTTGATAGGTGGGCCCCCTGACCCTGAAGTGGATCCCCCTGACCCTGATTGTGGAGCCCCCTGAACCCTGATGGGTGGACCCCTAGCCCCTGATGTGTGGAGCCTCCTGACCTACCTTGATAGGTTGACCCCCTGAGCCCTGATGGTTGGAGCCTCCTGACCTGACCTTGATAGGTGGAGCCCCTTAGCCCTGATGGGTGGAGCCCCCTGACCCTGATGGGTGGAGCCCCTTAGCCCTGATGGGTGGAGCCCCGTGACCCTGATGGGTGGGGCCTCCTGACCTGACCTTGATAGGTGGGGCCCCCTGACCCTGATAGGTGGGGCTCCCTAACCCTGATAGGTGGAGCCCCCTGACCCTGATGGTTGGAGCCCCCTGACCCTGATGGGTGGAGCCCCCTAGCCCTGATGGGTGGAGCCCCCTGACCCTGATGGGTGGAGCCCCTTAGTCCTGATGGGTGGAGCCCCGTGACCCTGATGGGTGGAGCCCCCTGACCCTGATGGGTGGAGCCCCCTGGCCCTGATGGGTGGAGCCCCTTAGCCCTGATGGGTGGAGCCCCCTGACCCTGATGGGTGGAGCCCCCTGGCCCTGATGGGTGGAGCCCCGTGACCCTGATGGGTGGAGCCCCCTGACCCTGATGGGTGGAGCCCCCTGACCCTGATGGGTGGACCCCCTGACCTGACCTTGATAGGTGGGGCCCCCTAACCCTGATGGGTGGAGCTCCCTAACCCTGATGGGTGGAGCCCCCTGACCCTGATGGGTGGAGCCCCCTGACCCTGATGGGTGGAGCCTCCTGACCTGACCTTGATAGGTGGAGCCCCCTGATCCTGACCTGAACTGGCCTGGCCTTGTGGGAGCAAACAAAGGTTACACAGCTCTTTTACACACCTTCATCTTAATGTACATATTACTACATAATCTGTCTAGATAAAGAATGTGTGTGGAAATACAGTACCAGTCAAAAGTTTGGACACACCTACTCATTCAAGGGTTTTTCTTTATTTTTACTATTTTCTACATGTAGAATAATAGTGAAGACATCAACACTATGAAATAAGACATATGGAATCATGTGGTAACAAAAAAAGTGTTAAACAAATCAAAATATATTTTATATTTGAGATTCTTCAAAGTAGCCACCCTTTGCCTTGATGACAGCTTTGCACACTCTTGGCATTCTCTCAACCAGCTTCATGAGGTAGTCACCTGGAATGCATTTTCTTTCCTTCTTAATGCGTTTGAGCCAATCAGTTGTGTTGTGACAAGGTAGGGGTGGTATACAGAAGATAGCCCTATTTGGGAAAAGTCCAAGTCCATTTTATGAGAGAAACGGCAGTACATCATTACTTTAAGACATGCAGGTCAGTCAATACGGAACATTTCAAGAACTTTGAAAGTTTCTTCAAGTGCAGTCGCAAAAACCATCAAGCACTATGATGAAACTGGCTCTCATGAGGACCGCCACAGGAATGGAAGACCCAGAGTTACCTCTGCTGCAGAGGATAAGTTAATTAGAGTTAACTGCACCTCAGATTGCAGCCCAAATAAATGCTTCACAGAGTTCAAGTCACAGACACATCTCAACATCTTCTGTTCAGAGGAGACTGCGTGAATCAGGCCTTCATGGTCGAATTGCTGCAAAGAAACCACTACTAAAGGACACCAATAAGAAGAAGAGACTTGCTTGGGCCAAGAAACACGAGCAATGGACATTAGAGTGGTGGAAATCTGTCCTTTGGTCTGATGAGTCCAAATGTGAGATTTTTGGTTCCAACCGCCATGTCTTTGTGAGACGCAGAGTATGTGAACGGATTATCTCCGCATGTGTGGTTCCCACCGTGAAGCATGGAGGAGGTGGTGTGATGGTGTGGGGGTGCTTTGCTGGTGACACTGTCTGTGATTTATTTAGAATTCAAGGCATACTTAACCAGCATGGCTACCACAGCATTCTGCAGTGATACACCATCCCATCTGTTTTGCGCTTAGTGGGACTATCATTTGTTTTTCAACAGGACAATGACCCACAACGCACCTCCAGGCTGTGTAAGGGCTATTTGACCAAGAAGGAGAGTGATGGAGTGCTGCATCAGATGACCTGGCCTCCACAATCACCCGACCTCAACCCAATTGAGATGGTTTGGGATGAATTGGACCGCAGAGTGAAGGAAAAGCAGCTAACAAGTGCTCAGCATATGTGGGAACTCCTTCAAGACTGTTGGAAAAGCATTCCTCATGAAGCTGGTTGAGAGAATGCCAAGAGTGTGCAAAGCTGTCATCAAGGCAAAGGGTGGCTACTTTGAAGAATCTAAAATATATTTGGATTTGTTTAACACTTTTTTGGTTACCACATGATTCCATATGTGTTATTTCATAGTTTTGATGTCTTCACTATTATTCTACAATGTAGAAAATAAGAAAAATTAAGAAAAACCCTTGAATGCGTAGATATGTCCAAACAGCTCACTCTGACCATTTTAATCGCCCTAGCAGAGCTGGTTAGGCTGTTTTCATGGTATCCAGAGCAATTTAATTACGCTTTTTTTGCCCATGTTTACTGACACCGGCCACATTCAACTGGTGTTGAGCGTTCGTAAATTCATCAGTTATGCTGCGCTCTGGCACACGTACACTCAGACGAGAGTGCTCTGAAATCGGAGTAGATCGCCAGAGCGACTGTCCATTGAGAACGCACAACGACTATACCACTTAGCTAAACTAAGAATGACGGGAATAATCAAGTCAATAAACGTTGGGTAGTTAGTTAGATAGCATATAGTTAATATACTGGCAAGTTTGATGTATTAGTAGCTAACTAACGTTATTTAGGTAGCGTTATGATGTCTTTTCACAGTGTTGTGGGAACAAGTTTAAATTTATGAGATAAGTGACTCTTGGTGCCACAGTCTGGATTCCAGTATGTCGAGGGAGCTTACTGGTGGTTTATCTTAGAATGATTGATAGATAGAATATACTGACTTGGGTACAGGGTAATACCATCAAAGAAGGGAGTGCCCACTGAGGGTTAACAGATGTTGTTGAAGAAATGTGTAACATGAAGTATATAAACTAAGAGATGTCCTTTGTTCAGTAGTTTGGATGAAAGAGGCAAAGCATGTGCCCTTTTGTTAAGACGAACCACGGTACCGTACCTATTACATATTTGTATGAACTCTCCATATAATTTTTAAGTATATTCTTGCATCCTGAATTACTTGATACCCGAGAAACTCATCATAACAGGTAGCTGACATACCGGTACATACTTCTGTAATTACATGCGGTTCGTAAGGATAGAGTAGCTAACAAATTGTCAGCCAAACATAACGTGTAAGGTAACTTATTTGAAAAGTCATTACTTTATTACATTGCTCAACATTTTCATAATTTGTTAAAGCAATGAATTTGTATCCGCTCTCGTTGGACTTCGGCTGCATATTTTCCTGCATTTTCTTCAAATCTGAAAACGTTGTGAAGCCACGCCCATTTTCGGAAGAATTGCATTATGGGCACTAAAAGCACGGAAATAGTGTCCACTGCTTGTATACTTCGTATCTTGCCGAATGTAGTATGACATCCGGGAACTTTTGGCATACTAACTATATCCATACTATGACCAATAAGCATACTATATATACGCAATTGACGTCACAAATAGTACGGTTAGTATGAGTATTCGAACACAGCTCTGCTCTTTCCATTCCAGACTGACCAGGCGAATCCAGGTGAAGGCTATGATCCCTTATTGATGTCACTTGTTAAATCAGTGTAGATGAAGGGGAGGAGACAGGTTAAAGAAAGATTTTTAAGCCTCGAGACAACTGAGACATGGATTGCGTATGTGTGCCTTTCAGAGGGTGAATGGGCAAGACAAAAGATTGAAGTGCCTTTGAACGGGGTATGGTAGTAGGTGCCAGGCGCAACGGTTGTGTCAAGAAATGCAACACTGCTAGGTTTTTCACGCTCAACAGTTTCCCGTGTGTATCAAGATCGGTCCACCACCCAAAGGACATCCAGCCAACTGTGGGAAGAATTGGAGTCAACATGGGCCAGCATCCCTGTGGAACGCTTTCAACACCTTGTAGAGTCCATGCCCCGACGAATTGAGGCTGTTCTGAGGGCAAAAGTGTGGTGTGTGTGTGTGTGTGTGTGTGTGTGTGTATTACCTTGTATGAGTAGAGGACTTTGCAGGTGAGTGGGTAGTTCCTGAGGGTGCCAGAGGGGCTGGAGCTGCTGTCATCAAACACCTCCATGTTCTCTTCACACTCCTCACCCTCCGACCGCTCCAGGTCAACCGGGCCCTACACACACACACACACGTCACAATGAGCTAGGTCCAATGCTCCAGTGTGGTTCTCTCCGGTTCTCTCTCCTTGTCCTTCTGAGTCAGGTGATGTGAAGGGTGTCGCTGTAAAACCTTTACGTCCTGACCCCTCCTTTACCTGTCCTCAGGGAACCTCATTGGCTCAGAGAGATCAGGTGATCCAGGTGGCATATGGGCCCGCCCCCCTTCGGACCAGAAATAGCAACCCAACCAGGACAAAACACGTGTGTGTGTGTGTGTGTGTTTTGTTCTGTTTGTGTTCAAAACTCACTATGTTCCTGATAAGAAGCTTAGTCATCACTAAACTCTACACCTCCTTCGGAGTAGAAAAATAACAGCTGTGTGTGTGTGACCAATCAGGTGTTCCCCTTCCTGCATATAGTTCCTCCTATTGTAAGCAGAGGAAGGAGTTTCCTCTTCTTATCTAGGTTAACACATTTAGCTTGGAATGATGAGTTAAAAAAGAAACAGTTGATTCTGCTTTTAATAATAATAGCTATATAAAAACACCTTGTAGGTGTCAAGCAAAAAACCAAACGTAGAAATCAATAGGTAACAGGTATTATCATCATGGCCAGAAGGGATTGTTAGAAGAGGATTGTACTATATTATCCTAGTAGTTATCACCTTGAGGAAAAACTACTTCATTCTCCATCACACTGATCAACCAGACTGGTCTGGGAACAGATAGAACTCCCTCTACTAATTCTCTGTCACTCTTCTCCTCCTTTCTCTCATCCACACTCTCCCCCTCTCCACCCTCCTCCTCTCCTTTGGTTTCAGTTTCCCATTATCACTCTCCTCCTCTCCTTTGGTTTCAGTTTCCCATTATCACTCTCCCCTCCCTCTCACCTTCTCTCTCTCACTTCCTCTCCCATGCTCTCTTTCTCTGGTGGTTGCTGCAGTGTCATGTGAACAGAATGTTAAGTGATGAAGAGGAGCGGAGACCGCTTACCTCAACATCCTGCTGACACACACACACACACACACACACACACACACACACGTGATAACTAGGCACACAGGACCAAAGTTCTGCAGCACACACACGGGCCTTGGCTGCCCTGTGGTAAAGAAACAGTCTGTGGTGATGACAGGGAGTGTAGTGTATTTTCCTCCCGAGTGAGGGAAGGTGGTGTAGTGAGAGGGAGGGAGGGAGGGCATGTGTCTCACCGAGAGTGAGGGATCGTGGGTAGTGTAGTTTAGTGTAGCCCAGCGCTCATTCTCCAGCTCCTCCATCACCTGGTTCATGGCGCTCTTCAGCCAGGTCTCCACGGCAACGCCCACCTGTCTCAGCAGGTCCAAACGAGCCTCTGCCTTCAGCTTTACTGTCTGGAGTGAGAGAGAGGGAGGTTACACACACAGACACACACTGCTGGGTAATCACTACGACTGACAGGGGCCGTTGGAGGACTCAATCTATCCCATCAGCCCAACGTCTATGGTGGAAGCCTATATCAGTTATAATCATCATGTCTATGGTGGAAGGCTATATCAGTTATAATGATCAGGTCTATGTTGGAAGGCTATATCAGTTATAATGATCAGGTCTATGTTGGAAGGCTATATCAGTTATAATGATCAGGTCTATGGTGGAAGGCTATATCAGTTATAATGATCAGGTCTATGGTGGAAGGCTATATCAGTTATAATCATCATGTCTATGGTGGAAGGCTATATCAGTTATAATGATCAGGTCTATGGTAGAAGGCTATATCAGTTATAATCATCATGTCTATGGTGGAAGGCTATATCAGTTATAATCATCATGTCTATGGTGGAAGGCTATATCAGTTATAATGATCAGGTCTATGTTGGAAGGCTATATCAGTTATAATGATCAGGTCTATGGTGGAAGGCTATATCAGTTATAATGATCATGTCTATGGTGGAAGGCTATATCAGTTATAATGATCAGGTCTATGTTGGAAGGCTATATCAGTTATAATGATCAGGTCTATGGTGGAAGGCTATATCAGTTATAATGATCAGGTCTATGGTGGAAGGCTATATCAGTTATAATGATCAGGTCTATGGTGGAAGGCTATATCAGTTATAATGATCAGGTCTATGGTGGAAGGCTATATCAGTTATAATGATCAGGTCTATGTTGGAAGGCTATATCAGTTATAATGATCAGGTCTATGGTGGAAGGCTATATCAGTTATAATGATCAGGTCTATGGTGGAAGGCTATATCAGTTATAATGATCAGGTCTATGTTGGAAGGCTATATCAGTTATAATGATCAGGTCTATGGTGGAAGGCTATATCAGTTATAATGACCAGGTCTTGTTGGAAGGCTATATCAGTTATAATGATCAGGTCTATGGTGGAAGGCTATATCAGTTATAATGATCAGGTCTATGTTGGAAGGCTATATCAGTTATAATGATCAGGTCTATGGTGGAAGGCTATATCAGTTATTAATGATCAGGTCTATGGTGGAAGGCTATATCAGTTATAATGATCAGGTCTATGGTGGAAGGCTATATCAGTTATAATGATCAGGTCTATGTTGGAAGGCTATATCAGTTATAATGATCAGTCTATGGGGAAGGCTATATCAGTTATAATCATCATGTCTATGGTGGAAGGCTATATCAGTTTATAATGATCAGGTCTATGTTGGAAGGCTATATCAGTTATAATGATCAGGTCTATGGTGGAAGGAGGCTATATCAGTTATAATGATCAGGTCTATGGTGGGAAGGCTATATCAGTTATAATGATCAGGTCTATGGTGGAAGGCTATATCAGTTATAATCATAAGGTCTATGGTGGAAGGCTATATCATTTATAATGTCAGGTTTTATGGTGGAAGGCTATATCATTATAACGATCGGGCTATGGTGGAAGGTTTAGATCAGTTAATGTTTCAGGGTCAAAGGGGGGAAAGGGGCTATTTTTTTAAAAATGACCCAGGTCTAGGTTGGGGGGCTAACCCTTTAAATTGACCCGGTCTATTTTGGGAAAAGGGCTATTTTCATTTAAAATGATCGGGGTAGGGTGGAAGGCTAAAATCATTTTTATAATGATCGGGTTAGGGTTTAAAAGGGCTATATCGTTTTAATGACGGGTTAGGGGGAGTAGAAAGTCAGGGGGGACCGCAAAAGTCTAGGGTTTAAACTGTGGTCAGCAGGGGGGGACAGACTAACCCGGGACAGTCAAACACAAATTTTTAAAAAGGGTTTTACACCCCAGGTAAGTGTATGTGGGGTTTACCGGGAAAGGCAGGGAGAGGGGACTCATTACAGAAACCTTTTCCCATGGGGGATAAAAGCTTTTTAATGTCGGGATCAGAAAACAGGAAGTGGAGTTTGGTTAAAATTTATGTTAAATACACAAATCTCACTATAAATTCCCGCTCGGACCCCACCCCCCGCAAGACTTTTTGGGTTTGTCCTGGCTATGCCCCTCCCCCCCGGGCCCCATTAAAATTTAAATGGACTCATCAAACATTCAAAGAAAGCAGGGGAAATGGGTTGGGAGCAGAGAGGGGGGGAGGGAGGGGGGAGGGGGAGGGGGGGGGAGGGGAGGGGTGGAGAGATGGGGGAGAGGGATGGGGGGGGAGAGGGGGGTATGGGGGGGGGGAAGAGTGGGAGGGGGGGGAGGGAGGGGAGAGAGGGGGGATGAGGGAGGTGGAGAGAGGGGAAAGGGGGGGGTTTTAGGGCAGGGGGAGGGAGGGAGGGCGGGAGGGGGGGATGGGGAATTGAGGGAGGGGGAGAGGGGGGGGGAGGGGGAGAGAGGGGGGGGGAAAGGGGGGTTTGGGGGAGATGGGGGAGGGGGGGGGGTGGGGGAGGGGGGAGGGGGGTGGGGGTTGGGGGGGAGAGGGGGAGGGAGGGAGGGGGAAAGAGAGGGGGGAAATGGGGGGGGGGGAGGGAGAGGGGGGAAGGGGGGGGGGGGTGGGGGGAGTGGGGGGGGGAGGGGGGGAGGGGGGGAGAGGGGGGAGGGAGGGGAAGGGGGGAGGTGGGGAAAAGGGGGGGGAGGGGGAGGGGGAGGAAAGGGAGGGGAGGGAAGGGGGAGGGGGAAGGGGGGGGAAGAGGGGGGGAAGGGAGGGTAAGGGGAGAAGGGGAGGGAGGGAGGTGGGGAGAGGGGGGGGGGGGGAAACGGGGAGAGGGGGAGGAAGGGGAAAAAGGGGGGGGAGGGGGAGAGGGGGGGGAGGGGGGGGAAGGGGGAGGGGGGGGGAGGAGGAGGGAGAAAAAGGGGAGGGGGAGAAGGAAAAAGGGGGGAGAGGGGGGGAGGGAAAAAAGGGGGGGAAAGGGGAGGAAGATAAGGGGGGGGGAAAGGGGGGGGGGGAAAAAGGGAGGGGGAGGGAGAGGTGAGGAGGGGGAGAGGGGGGAAAGGAAGGAGGAGGGGGAGGGAGGAGGGAGAGGGAGGAGGAGGGAAGGGTGGGAGGGGAAGGGGAGGGGGGGGAGGGGAGGGAGAGGGGAGGGAAGGAAGGGGTGAGGAGGAAAAGGGAAAGGGTGAGGAGGAGGGAGGGTGAGGAAGAGGTTGAGGGGAGGAAAAGGGGGGGGGGGGGGGGAGGGGAGGAGGAGGGAAAAGGGAGGAGGAGGGAAAATGGGGGGGGGAGAGGGGGAGGGGGGGAGGGGGGAGGAAGAGGGGGAGAGGAGGGAGGTGAGGAGGGGGGAAAAGGGGTGGGGAGGAGGGAGAGGGAAAGGGGGGGGAGAAGGGGAGGGGGGAAAAAGGTGAGGGGGGGGGGAGAGGTGGGGGGGGGAGAGGTGAGGAGGAGGGAGGTAAGGAAAAAGGTGAGGAGGGGGGAGAGGGGGGGAAAGGGGGAGAGGTGAGGAGAGGGAGGGGAGGAGGAGGGAAAAGTGGGGAAAGAGGTTGGGGGGAGGAGGGGAGGGGAGGAAGAGGTGGGGAAGGGGGGAGGGAAAGGGAGAGGTGAGGAGGAGGAGGGGGGAGGGAAAAAGGGGGGAAGGTGAGGAGGAGGGAGAGGTGAGGAGGAGGGAAAGGAGGAGGAGGGAGAAGTGAGGAGGAGGGAGAGGGGGGAAAGGAGGAGAGGTGAGGAGGGGGGAGAGGTTTGGAGGAGGGAGAAGTGAGAGGGGGGAGAAAGGGAGGAGGGGGGGAGAAGGGAGGGGGGAGGGGAGAGGGGGGAAGGGGGGGAGGGAGGGGGGGGGGGAGAGGTGAGGAGGGGGGGAAGAAGGAGGAGGAGGGAGAGGGAGGGGGGGGGGAAGGGAGGAGGAGGGAGAGGTAGGAGGAAGGGGGGAGGATAGGGTGAGGGGGGGGAGACGGGGGGGAGGGAAAAGAGGGGGAAAGGAGGGAAAAATAAGAAGGGAACAAAGAGGGGGGGAAAGGGGGAAAGGGGGGGAAGGGGGGGAAAGGAGGGGAGGGAGAAAGGGAAAAAATAAAAAGGTAAAAAGGGGGAAAGGTGAGGAGGGGGGGAGGAAAGGGGGAGGAAAGGAGGGAGGGAAAGGGAGGAAGGGGGGGAGAAGGGGAGGAGGGGAATAAAGAAGGGAGGGGGGGGAGAGGTGGAGGGAGGGAGGGAAAAGGGGAAAGGGGGGAAGTGGGGGAGAGGGGGAGAAGGAGGGGGGGGAGGGTAGGAGGAGGGAGAGGTGGGGGAGGAGGGAGAAGTGAGGAGGGAAAGGAGGAGAGGGGAGGGGGAAAAGTGAGGTTACCTTTTTTTCTACAAAAAAAAAACCAACCCCTCAGCCTTGCGGATGTTTTTTTGGGTATCCTTATCTTCAGCCCCAGATCAAGCGGCCCTGTCTTTTGGAGGGACTCCCAGGTTTTCACACTCCTCCGGCTAATGACACACACACCACACCCACAAACACACCAAACC